TAGTCTGAGAATAAAGGATTAGAAACTACCAAGAACAATGTAGTTCAGCCAGTTTCAGAAGAGGGAAGAAAATCTAAATCCAAACCAGGTAGGTATAGATACAGTATTAGCTTCTATAGATTTTTTTGAATCCTATTTAGAAACAAATGCAAACCAAGGAAAGTTTTGTCATACTTAACAATTGAACAAAAATATGCTGGCTTCACTTCTGTGCATAGTGTGTCAAGGTTCCAGCATATAGAGAAAATTGAATAGGTGAGGTAACAGTTCTTAAAGTTGGGGGTGGGGTTTGTTTGTTGTTATTTAACTTTAGAACTGAAAGAACCTCATTTCTTATTGTTGAATAAAGACTAACTTCTCTGACTTGCAAATTTTAAAATTTACTGACAAAGCATCATGTCATTTTTTATTTGGCTATATAAGAGTGGTGATTGCATATGTGCACATCTCTGTTTTCATTTCTCTCCCTTCGGCTTGAACATAGTATAAGATGGTGATAAAAGAGTGTTTTTCTGATCTTTATAGATAAGCAGCTTATCCAGTACACTGCCTTTCCACTTCTTGCATTCCTTGATGGGAACCCTGCTTCCACTGTTGAACAGGGGAGTACAACAGCATCATCAGAAGTTGTGTCCTCTGTAGATAAACCCATAGAAGTTGATGAGCTTCTGGATAGCAGCCTAGACCCAGAACCAACCCAAAGTAAGCTTGTTCGCCTGGAGCCATTGACTGAAGCTGAAGCTAGTGAAGCTACACTGTTTTATTTATGCGAACTTGCTCCTGCACCTCTGGATAGTGATATGCCACTTTTAGATAGCTAAATCCCCAAGAAGTGGACTCTACATGTATATATTCATCAAAATGATGAACTATTTATTTTAAAGTATCATTTGGTACTTTTTTTTGTAAATTGCTTTGTTTTGTTTAATCAGATACTGCGGAATAAAAGCACCTTTTGCTTTTTCTCACTAACCACACATTCTTGCAAAGCTTTCAAATGTTACTCGGCTGCGTAAGTACACAGATTTAATGCACATTATTGGCATATCTTTAAGTTGGATTCAAGTGGTCATTTTTCTCCAATTGTAGTAAATTGGATTTTTTTTTTTTAAACAAATATGACCATTAACCCCAGTTAAACTTTTGTTTGTGTTTGTTTTACTTGTTTGATGCTGTCTGTTTGCATTGAGTGTAAGTCATTTGAACTAATGGTAGAACTCCTAAAGCTTTCTCTGTTCCGGTTACTTTTATTAAATATTTTTCACTTGGCTTATTTTTAAAACTGGGAACATAAAGTGCCTGTATCTTGTAAAACTTCATTTGTCTCTCTTGGTTCAAAGAAGTTCATTTATGTTCAAAAAAGTTCATTCATACTCAACAGGAAAGGCAAAGTTTCCAAGAGTGCTCACTGTCTGATAAGGTTCCAGCTCAATATACATAGAAAGAAGGGGGGTGGGGGATGGGATGGAGTCAACCCCATCCACTTAGTTGGACTAATTTTAAGTAAAGGTTTTCTGGTTTGTGTTTTTTGAACCGTACTATTTAGTAAAATAAATATAATGAATGTTGAGTAGTAGTGTCTGCTATGTGTCTTCTTTAGAGGTGACACCCACATGAATGAA